GATTAATCACGCAGCATGAAGGTAGTGATTGGAGGGGAAGAACACTAAAAACTAGATGAAGCAGCACATCAATGGGGGAAAAGGGGCACATGAATTAGTGCCAAAGACACCCACATATTCTGGGGGCTGGAAAATAATAGCAAAGAACAGGGGTTATGAATCCAGCTTCCTGCTTTTGTAATGTTGGGTGGTCTTCCTCCAGTTGGCTGCTCTACCAGCATGGAAAAAGACAGTAATGCAATTTGGTAGTTTGTGTCAAGAGTGACAAGATCAGCTGTGAAGGAAGAAACACTGGGAAGGAGTGGGGATGAGAAGGACCAGAGTCCAGCAAGCAGTTCAGAGGCAGTGGTAGTGGTCAGTGGAAAGATGGAAGATCTGGGCTAAGACAAGGGAAATGGAGGCAGAAGGCAGAGTGGAGGTCAAGTGTAGAGTTTCTATTGCTGGCCTCCTGGATGGATGATGGCACCATGAACTTCAGTGCTAGGGAAAACAGAGCTAGAGTTAAGCATGGGGAGTCTTGGGGCAGCATTATATTCAAATGGAACCAGAAAATGCTTGTGTGTTTAGATTTTAACTCAGTTTTGAATGTATTTAATTATAATTTTATTTTAAATTCTTATGCTTGACAATAGGGAACAAAGATGAATTCTGTATCTATTCAAGAATATTTAACACCTACCATGTTGTGGTTTCTAGGTTAGGGGCTAGTGACACAGATGGATCAGAAAAATATTCTGCACTTCAGGAACTTACACACAACTCATGGGACCATAAGCTGGTATCTGTGAGGGCTGTAGGAGAGAGCCTTCCTGTGTTAGTGTAGATAGACTAAAGAAACAAGTTCAGAGACACTCATATGTATATAAGAATGATGTTTATATACAAGAGCAACTGAATATCGAGTAAATGCCCCAGCCAGTCCAGATCAAGTCCGTAAGTCCAATATTAGTCCATATGTTCGATACCAATATATAAAGTCCTCATCAGACTCGCGAAATGCATACAATGATGCCGAATGCAGGAGGATCACAGGCCAGTGGGTTGGAAGTCTTGTGGATCCAGTGGTGTTGTAAGCTTCTCAGCACTGGCAGGGGCCTCTACGTGGCTTCTGTGGCTCCAGAGGTCTGGTTGCATTGTCAGTAGAGCGTCTCTCAGGGACAGAGGCCTCATTGGTTATATATTGATTGATAGGCCAGACTCCACCCCTTCACTCAATTCTCTCAACTTGACACCAGATTATGTAACTACCACACTTGCATAGGCCTTTGATTATTCAGGGTTAGAAGAGACATAGAGGTAGAAAATCAAAGGGCATGAATGGAGAACATGCTAATTGTACAGTAGAGATTTAATTAAGAGCATTGGCTTTAAGGTCAGAATGACATAACCTTGGCCCTGTCATTTACTAACACTGTGATATTAGCTAAGTTAGTTACCATCTCTGATTCTCAGTGTTCTTGGTCTGTTAAATGGGTCTGACAACGACTGCCTTGAAGGGTCACTGTGAGGATGAAATGAGGTAAAGAATGCAGAGGGCCTAGCTCAGTGTCTGGTGCAGAACAAGTACTCAGTAAACGCTGGCACACTAAGAGCAGAGTGCTTGAAGGAAGGGGGATCAGCTCAGTGCTGAGCACATAGTGGACATGCATCAAATACTTATCAAAAGAACCCAAAGTAAGTTGGGCCCAGATCTCAGAATGCCTTATAGACCCTCATGTTTTAATCATTGAAGATTTTTGAGTGGAAATATACTGTTAGCAGAGACAAGGACACTTTTGCAAGATAAACTCTGAGCTCTCTATAAACTGGGCTGGAGTTCAGAGTTCCTGGGGCGGGCAAATCAGGCAACTCTCCTAATGTTTCAAACAAGATGCATCAGGCTGACTCTCCATGCCTGTAGTACTCGAGAGATAAAACTCTCACAATTTTTATTCATAAAAGATGATGAATGCCATGGCAGAGGTACAAATGAGTGCTTTGAAAGTGGTGAATAATTGGGGATGAAAGCACCAGGAAAGGTTTTATATGTTGATGGAAGATATGTTCATCCCTCTGTGTCTGAAATAATGAGCCTGACATATGGAACGAAGATAAGAGGAAAGAATTAAAAATGGAGGAAAGCATGAGTAATGCACTGAATATGGATCAGTGATAGTGATTAAGAGAGAAAAAGAAGTAGAGCGTGAATGGCATGTGAGAAAGGACTAGAGAGAGTTTAAAACGTAGATTGAGACACAATTTATGGCCTGCTCTAGAACTTGCTGCCTTCACGTCTATTCTGTCTCATAGCGGCCCTATAGAACAGGGTAGGAATGCCCCTTTTGATTTCCAAAACTGTAATTCTTTGCTGGAGTAGACAGCCTCCTCTTCTTCTCATGGAGCTACTGGTGGGTTTGAACCATCAACCTTCTCATTAGCAGCTCAGTGTATAGCCACTACGTCTCCAAGACTCCTTTCTTCAGTTAAACATACAAAATAAATGAAGAAATCATTTTGTCTTTTAATATCCTCTATATTCTTGAACTATTTTTAAGTTTCAAAGTCATTACAGATAGACCTGAATAACTCCTATCCTCAAAAAGTATATATCCAGGTTACTTAAGATTCACAAATAGGAATCATTTGGCAGTGATTCAAGCATAAGATTTCAAAGGCTATAAGCATTTACAGGAGGCATGGTGCCATAGTGGGCTACGAGCTGGGCTGCTAATCTCAAAGTCAGTAGTTCAAAACCACCAGCTGCTGCTCAGGAGAAAGGTGAGGCTTTCCACTTCTGTAAAGAGTTACACTATGGGAAATCCCCAGGAGGCAACTCTACTCTGTCCTATACAGTCACTCTGAGTCATCATTGACTTGATGGTAATAAGCTTGTTTGGTCTGAGGCATTCAGAGGGAAAGAGCAGTTTATTTTCTTATGTGAAATCTGCATAATTGATCATTTACCTTTTTATTTAAATAGATGCATTTTTTCCTCTCAACAAAATTTATTTTGAGCATAGGTTTCTTTTATTATTGCCATAGTGGAAAGCCTGTACCATTTACAATGAATGCATAGAAGCAATTGAAAACAAACCTAATAAAGGCAGAACGGCAAGATTAAATTCCAGCTAAATAGGCTGTCTGTTGAAGGTTATCTTTGGCCAAAATATACAGCACTAGCACCCAGCCAAGACCATCTCCTTGATGTAATCAGAAGTATTGGGAAAAGCCTGGGAAAGAATGAGTGTCTTGCCCTGTGGGCTAATCATGCCCTTTTGTGTTGTGTCTTGTGTTCTTCTCATGGTCCCCACACTCTTCTCACAGACTGGGAAATGCCATCCCAGAGCAAACTAATCCAGCACGTGAAAGACTTGCCGGAGATCCAATATTTTAGTGTTCCATCCTGGTTCGGAAGTGGAAAATAAAGCACCCTCCTCAAGGAGCCCCCACATACACCCTGTGATAACTGAGCAGGGACTCTGGGTGAGGTCAGAGAAGACCTTCTGAATAGCTGAGCAGTGAGTCAGGAGTAGGGTGTTGGCAGAGCAGGAGTGAGACGGGGAAGGCTGAGGAAAAAGGGAGATCCCAGACCAAGGGCAGCAAACACGAGGGGGCTTCTAAAGAGGCTGGAAGGAAGTGAGGAGCTAATAGCAATGAGTACGATAAAGCAGAAAGTGTCCTAAAATTGATTGTGTGAATGATGGTCAACTCTTCTTCTTGATATGATAGAACTATTGAATTGTATGATATGTGGATTATGTCCCAATAAAACTTTTAAAGATAGGTAAGCAAAGTCAGTGGGAAAATGTGATTATACGATAATGGAATTTTCTCATAATTTTTATTTTTGATGCCCCTTCATAAAAAAACTTCCAGAGAACCCCTACTCACCCCCCCACCCCTCACCTCTAGGACTTTATCTTTGAAAACCTTTAGGTTTTTTTCTGACAATGCTTGGGAAGGCACCATGGTGTAGTGCAGAGTCAAGAAACATACTCCCTTTAGCAAACCGCATTGATATCTACTTCGTATCGATGGCGTCCTGGGGGACTGCTAACCATAGGTCACTGAAAGCAGCAGCTGCTTCTGGAGAGAACGACAAGGCTTGGTGCTCTTATACAGATATCTAACCTCAGAAACCACAAGGTCGCTATGAGTTGGAAGTGAGTTGCTGGCAATGAGTTTAGTTTTTGAGCTTTGTACCAGGTTGTATGGATACAGAGATGCACAGCAAAGTCAGGACTATTGCCTTCCAGGCGTCACAGTCTAGTGGAGGCAATACATTATAAACTTGATACAGAAGTGCCCTGTGTTCTATGAACAAGGCCTTCCCGGAGTCATTGTTAGGGTAGTCATAAATGTAGTGTGTGTCTGGCATTGGGGCATGTATGGAAACAAGAAAAACCGGACGGATTGTGTTTACAGGTGTTTGTTTAGTTATTCTGTTGCTTAGTGGCAGAATCATCCTCTGGGGAATCTACATTTCAAATGAGAGGCAAGAGACCGAACTAGACCTCTAAGACATTTCCAAGGTTAAACAACCTTTCAGTGCTCATCTACTAACCCAGAAGTTCATGGTTTGAACATATCCAGAGACACCTCAGAAGAGAGAGCTGGCAAGCTGCTTCTGCAAGGTCACAGCCCAAAGCACCCCAGGACGTGTCTTTGTGCTCTGCACACAAGAGCGCAGGCTCAGTCAGAACTGACTCGATGACAAGGAGCTTGGGAAGGTGGCTTATCTTTAGCTTTCTTAGTTGGATTTCACATGTTATTAGCTAATTGGACTATCAATTGATGAGAAATATACCATCAAGTGTAAAAGTCCCCAGAGAGAGCCCCAGATACATTTCCATTCTTGGGATACCAAAAAAAATAAAAATAAAACTTACTGCCATCAAGTCAATTCCAACTCATGGTGACCATCTGCGACAGGGTAGAACTGCCCCTGGGGTTTTTTGAGACTGTAACTCTTTATGAGAGCACAAAGTCTAATCTTTCTCCAGCTAAGCAGCTGATGATTTCAAACTGCTGAACTTGCGATTAGCAGCCTAACACAGAACCACTATGTCATCAGGGCTCCCTATTCTTGGGATGGTTTATACTTTGAAATGTCAGCTGACCTTGATAATTTACCTTCTCAACTTATTTTTTGTTTTTTGAATTAGGTTTAACTCAGAAGAAGGTAGGTGAAAAATATGATTTTCCCATACGTTTGAATGAAGCTTCCAAAAAAATTAAGAAGAAAAAGAAAAAGGTACATTATTGTAAAGGGGACTGAACAGTACTTTAATTTCTGCTTATGCACACTAAATACAAATGTGTAAAGATACCAAAGACAGTGAAAATAGTTCTGTCTTTTGAATAACTTAATTTATTGAAATGAGAAAATAGAAGTAATTTAGCAGAAATGGAACTTACTTTGGAAATATTTATGAACCCTAATGAATCATCCTTCTAGTGTTTGAATGTCTAAACCACATTTTAATCTAAATGCACCCCCATGAAACACTTTTCATAGCATGATCTATGTTACACAGAATTTAACAGCTGTGGTGGGTAATGTAGTAGAGCAGGAAAACCCTGGATTTTACAGGGAAGAATGATGACTCCACATTGGTGTCATACTGTTCTTTTCAGAGACAAGGGGTGCATGTTAAGTCTCTAGCACGAAAACTGGCAAGGATGTTTATGGCCGAACCGTTCTCACTGCTGGTGGTCCAAATGTCATGGCTACTTGAAAGATCAGTGTCTCTACTTACCTTTGATTGCCACAATAGGTTACCGTGGCACTGTTTCTTCATTTTAAAGAAATTGTTAAGTGACGATGACATGTAAACGTGTACTGTCTTTAAGCTTTGAATTTGTTTGCCTTATAATCCAAACATAATGCATGCAGCATATAATCCACATTTAGTATACATTTTATATATAGTAGTATAAAATCACTTTAAGGTGAGTTAACCCTGTAATATGCATTTGAATGAGCATCTAATCTTCCCACTATACTTAGAAACCCTTTTTCCAAAACCCAATTTCTCTCGAACGAGGAACAAAGAGCAATAGCCAGTATTTACTTCAAATTTACCGTGTGCTGGATAGACAGTAAGCTAAATGCTTTACTTACATATTTTAAAAATAGTTCTAATAAGGCAATGTATTAAGTGATTCCTAGAGGAGGAAAGTTGCTCCATGTCCAACAACGGGTTAAGTGGCAAAGGCAGAATTTGAACCTGAGTCAACTGGATACAATCGCCCTCATTCTGTGAACTCTGGTGTAGAAGTCCCAATCAGGGAGCGTGGTGTGTTCCTGCTCTTCAGTCATTTTGCTTTGGTATATTCTATGAGAAATAATTAATTCTCGCTAGAATTAAATACATCTAAAAAAAATCAAGTCATTGGCCAGTGGTTTAGACATTGGAATGCAAGGGGGCTTCAAAAAGTTCATAGAAAAATGCAATTGAAAACTATGAGAATTTTCCTGTTTTTTGAAGCCCCCTCAGAAAAATTCATTCTTTTAAAAAAATCATTATTGCTTTTCAGAAGAAAATGGAATGTGCTGAAACTATTTAGGTAGACACTGCCTTTGAAAGGAAGCTTCATCTAAGAATTAATTTAAATGTTATAGGCATTAAATACTAAGAAAGTTGGAAAAGAATATCTGAGACTTTAGTTATTGTAGCAAAACAATTCCACTTACGTCTTAGTTGGCTGAGTGCTCATATTGCTTTATAATGACTAGACCCTTGGGTGGGCAACCCAGTCCAGTCACTCCCAATTGCCTCCATCAAAATGTATTTCTACCTCTCAGGCTCAGTGTTCCTGAACCGTACGTATCTTTTAAAGGTTTCAGTCTGGAATGGAGTCTGCAAATTCATATCTAGAATGCTTGAAGAAAATGAAAAATATCGACGCAGACTGAGTTCCCAGCGACTAGCTAGTGGCAGTGAGTGAACACGTTTTTATTGTGCTACAGAAGGCTGGCTATTAGAACAGTTTGTTACCCCTGCATCACAGACTGGTAGTAGTATTTTTTTAATTGTCACATTCAACAAAGAGAGCTCTAGAAGTGAGGCTAGCTTGTTACTGCTGTCATCACAATTGAAAGTACAAATCACTTTAGAGTGATGTGTGCAGAGTAAGTGTGAATGGCACGTGCAGAAGGTGCACATGGCCTGCAATGCCTGGGCAAAGGGATTATGCTTCTCTGCTATTTGGGAATTTTAATGACAACTTGTAAATACAAATAAATGACACAGCTCATCCATATTGATGTGGAAAACCATTTTAGCTGCAATTATAAATCCGGTGTCACTTCAAGAGCGGTGCTTCCTTTCAGGCCTGCTGCAGACCAATGAATGTTTTGAACCTGATCTGCCCTTGAGTTACAGCCCTGGTGTCTTCAGTTCATTCTTGAAAGCAGCTCACAAATTAGCTAAACTATGTCCTACAGCCCCATTAAGATAGAGTTAATGTTGTGGGCAGAGCAAAATTAAACATAATCTAGTATGTTTCTTAAAATAATTGAACGTTCTGGATTCTCAAACAATTATGTTGGCACTGCAATGGGCGTTACTTGCAAACACTTCCTCTGTGGCAGTCAACCTATAGTATATTAATTCTGTGAGGAATATTTTCATCATAATTAAAACAATTCCATTTTTTAAGCTTCCTGACACAGGAAACTCATTACTGTTTGTGTAGTAGTGCACTAGTAACAGTGTAACTTGTTTGCAGTAATAGCCTACAAACCAATGTTCACACCAGTGCTATTCTATTTTACTTTCTTAGCCAATTTTATATATGAATGAGAGGAAGTTCCATTTTTAATAAGGCAAATGAGACAGGGGGGGGGCGTATTAAGAAGCCAAGCAGTCAGTGGTTTCTTAAATGGGAAGGATGTCTGTATAGGCAGAGCTGTATACAGCAATCTTGGAGCTCATTCTGAGTGACATCCAAATCACACTTTTGAAATTGTGTGGTTCTCCTGTATCTCAGATGAAACTTTTTTATTAAACAGAAAATGATCTTGTAATGATTACTTAACAGCTTAAAATTAATATACTGTGCTCTCTAGTAGTCACTTATAATCTGTTTCTTTTGTGTTATACTTTTAAATTTTATTGCAACATTTTTAAAAGCTTTTAATTCTAAAAATATTAAGATGTTTGTTTCTTAATATTTATTAATGGGAAAAACCAGTGTTAGAAGCCAACTTAAGCTTTCTGTATATTTTATATTGTTCCTAGGTTCAAATCACTCAAGATGAATCTTATCTTCCACTGGTAAGAATCCATCCTATTAAGAGTTATAAAGTGTAGCTTCCCTCCTCCCTCATCTCTTTTTGCTTACATTCTACTTTGTCTCACTTATTCGTGGGTGGTGTTTCTGGGTGCTTGCAAGTCAATTCCAACTTTGAGCGATCCCATGCACAACAGAATGAAATGTTGCCCTGTCTAGTGCCATCTTCATGACCGACACTGTTTGAGCCCATCATTGAAGCCAATGTGCCAGTCTATGTTGGTGAGGGTCTTCCTCCTTAGGGGGTGCCCATCCCAAATGCCGTGCCCTTCTGTCTCTTTTCTTCATCAAACACAGTATTTGGAATAAAGTTGTTCATTGCTCTCAAGTCAATTCCATCTCATGGCGACCTTATGCGTAACAGCCTAAGTTATGCGCTGCCTGGTCCTGGGCCAGTGTGTTAGACAGGGTTCTCTAGAGAGATAAAACCAAATTGCTGATAATTAAATATATTTATAAAGATAATTAGATATATAACAAGAAATGAACTGTTAAATCATGTACAGATAAATATATAACAAATGAACAGTTAAATTATAAGCACTACAAATGGCTCAG